GTGTGTGTGTGTGTGTGTGTGTGTGTGTGTGTGTGTGTGTGTGTGTATATACCTTTTCAGGCTGTGATACTACAGGTGCATTTCTTAGGAAAAGTAAATTAAAACAATATAATATAATCAAGAACAATAGTGAGAAGTTTCTTCCAGTGTTTGAAGAGTTGGATAACTCTGCTGAAGTGTCAGCAACCATGCAAAGTGAACTCAAGCAGTTTGTGTGTTGTTTGTATGGAAAACCATTATATTTTAACATCAACAAACTAATATATGACATGGCAAAGACTAAATTCAAGACAGGTAGTGGATGTTTACTATCAAACTATGATGGCATTGACCTAAGTCTGCCCCCCCATCTAGATCAATGCTTCGAATACATGTATTGAGGACTAATTATCAAATGTTTAGATGGAAAAGTGTCTACATTTCATATCCTGATATCCCTGGCCCAGAAACACATGGATGTAAATTGGATTCTGCAGGAAAACAGGGCTATGACTGGTGTGATGGTGAGAATATTCCTCAAGAGCTCATTGATATTCTGTTGAGCCAGCAAATTGTGCATGAAACAGCAGGTGATGATGACAGTGGTGATGAGGATAAAGGTGTAGTTTCCACAAGTCTTGCATATATTTTTCACTCTGATGATGAATAACTACATTGTGCCAAACAGAACTCTTAGTATTTTAACTTTTGTAGATAAATAGTAGTTGTAGCAATAGTAGTAGTACTAGCAGTAGTAGGTGTTCAAGTACTTTTGCAAACCAATGCCCAAGAAGCTGATGCACTTGAACAGACACTTTTAATTGTTTCTGTAACAAAAGATGACTACATAATACAAAGTTCATAGAAATAATGGTTGATGTTTTTACAGTTTCACTTACCATCTATTTAATGTTTCTATCTACAAACTTCCAGTCACTGACATCACCATATTCAACAGGACTGGTTCAATTTTTGACTTTACAAATGTAACATGGTAATAAACAACACAGATGACTTAGGTAAAAATATATATGTACTTTTAAACTGATACCTTTGCAGTTAAAACCTACATGCACCTCTAAGAGATTCATTTTGTGGTTGTTCCTTTATTTCAGTTCCCTTATTTTTAAAGTACTAAAATATGTTGATTTATTTTACTTTACAAACATGTGATATTTTTTCATAATTTGTTTCAATAACAAATACAGCTATGTAACCAACTAATTAATGTTTCAGAAACTGGCCATTTTTTCAGTTGTATTTATTTACTATGCTGTCGTGAACATGCATTATCTATAAGCAAACAAGAACAATGCATCTTTGATTCATATTTTTACAGTTATCTAACAAACTGTGTTGTACAAAGTTTTTAAAAGCTGTAAAGACAAACATGCTCATATGATGCAGAATTGATGCATACAATAAAAATGCACATTGATTTTCACCATTAGTTTCACTTTTCTCTCAATACTGAATGAAAGGGTTCTCGGATTGTTCTATAACCAAAAGCTACAGTTTAAAATTGGCAAAAAAGTTGATTTCTATCCCTCATATAATAAGATATAAAGAAAAATAATCTTGAAAAATCCCCAGAGGAGGGCAGCAGCACCTTACCTGGCCCAAGGACTATTCCTTGTTGGTATCAACACACACACCGAGATTAATTGAGAAATTAATTATTTTATTCTTGCATATATTTCTAATTTTATTTGTTTTTAAATTAAATTGCACTAGTACAAACATGAAAACTATGAAATTTGGCAGAAGTGGGTAGATTCAAATTGTCTATTTTAAGCTTTGATACACACTTCCCTAACTAGTTTTTGTAAAACACCTTATTAAAAATGTATATAGTTAAGTCTGCTGTAAGAGCGTACACCCTTTTTTTATTTAACTTTTACTGAGCTATTCCTACAAGAAAGAAGTATATCCAAGTTGCACTTGAATTGGATGAGTTAAGAAAAGCTGCAAATGTTGCTACAAATCATAGATTATGCTGCAAACACAAACAATACGTTGTAAATCATAGTTAATTATATATAAGCAACAGTTTTTTAAAGAATTTCTTGAGATTGTAAACAGCATGCCAATTCTAATTTTTTATATTATTTACAACTTAAATGGTACTTTAGGAAACCTCAAAATGTTTTTACAAAACAATTCAGTCAAAAGGCTTTGTTGAATATAAGCCAAGTCAGTCATAATGCATACCACTATATAAGCCAAGTCAGTCATAATGCATACCACTGTCAAAGAGAAATTAATAAGCAAAATTAACATTTTGAAATACATTAAAATGTTTTAGAATAAAAAAGGTGTAATGACTTACAAAAACTGAACTCTTGTACAATATTAAGGTGGCCAAATACAGGATTATACCCAAATATGACAATCATCCTGTCTCCCACCATATTAGCTGTGTGACCTACAACTGCTACAGGACTGCAGAGGTCTGTGAGACAATCTTTTTCTGCATTATAGTCTAGCACTTCTTTCCATGACCAGTTCAAAAAATCAAATGACCAAAAGTCTTTCACGACAACACTGTTCTTCTCCTTTCCTCCAAACACATACATGTGGTCCTACAAAATAGATTTAAGCCATTCAGTAACAAAAAACAAAATATTTTTCTTGAAAGTTTAATATTTTAATCTCTCTCCCTTCTACAAAACACAAATTATTGAAATATTAGTCATTTAGAATTATTTATTATCAAAAATAAACATTTCTGGATTTCAATTTCACTACTCTGCATAGCTTTGAAGCAAATTTTGTACAAAATACAAAACCTTAACTGTTTTCATAATGGCCTCTTTTTTCAACATATTGATTTTGTTGATGTTATGTTTCAAATCTTGTCTTATAAAAGAAACAAAATTGTTTGTTTGTCTACAAAATACTCCATAATCTTTGGACCAATCTCATCTAAACGTGATATGATGATACATTTAACCAAGGCCATGTCCTAGGGTGGTTATTACCTGGCCCCCACCCAGCATGGGCCACGCCTACAGCAAAAATATGTTTGTTTAGCTAATGACTGCAGTCTTGGACCAATTTTTATTCGTAAAATTTTATATTTTGGGTTTTTTCTTGACTTTGTTTTTGAGTTTATTCATTGGAAATGTCAAACATTCATATTTTTTTCAGGAAAAATGGCAACCAGAACATAAAGTCAGACCCTTAAAGTGGCAAGGCAACATCTAAAAACCTCTTGCTTTTCACATGGTCAGTTCTATGTTAGATGTAATCATGTTCAAAAGTAGGATCACCAAGAAATTTCTCTATTTTGGCCCAGGAAGGAGGAGAAACTTCTAATGTGGTTTATCAAGAAACATTCAAAGTATCAACAAACACTGAGGCTGTAGAGAGGGATTAGTAAAAGTAATAAAGTATTGTAACACCATTTCTGTAATGTGGAATAAAGTAGGTATGAAATAAAGCAGTTGTAAAGTAAATTATGTGCAAAATAAATTATGAATATAAATATATATATTCCTGATTTAATTTATTAGTTCAAGTCCTACATTCAATCCTTATGTCCTCAGATGTAGAACAGGTGATCAGCTTGCATGTTTATAACAGCAGTCACTTTGATATTCTAATTAGAGTAATAATTTTACAAGAAAACAGTTAAATGTTTACCCAATTTAAAATGTTATGTTAGAATGTTGCAGGAATTACTTAAGCTTCTTTCTCAATTTCATTTAAATTCAATCTGATCCTTTTCATCAATCTTTCAATAAACTTGTTTTGAACATATTCAATTTGTACTGAATAAACAAGGTATGCATTCATGTTATATAATTAACTATTACTAATGGTTTTTTATTTCAATAACCTTGTTCTGAACATATTCATGTTGTGCTACATGCACACAGTATGTAGTCATATTATCTATTACAATTGTTTTAGTATTTTGATAAGCATTTTTTAAACACATTCAAGTTCTACTGAAAAAATAAGATACAAAGTCATGTTACATGACCAACTATTACTGTTTATCCTATTTATTTTCTGTTTTTATATGTGGTGACTGGTTTTAGTTCCTCAATTCAAGCAATCAAAACAAAGAAAACACAAGGATAATGTAAAATGTTAATTCTTTCCACCACCAATACTACCCAAACATGAAATGCTGAAAACAATGTTAATTTAACACAAATATGTTACCAACTTTTAAGTATATAAAGGAACTACACAAACTAAATCATCATGATTAATAATATGATTTACCTTGAGAAGTGAAAAAATATTATTTTTAGCTCTACCGTATAGTTTGTATTACAGTCAAACAAAAATTTGTTTATATTTTGTTAATTCAATAAAAGATCCATTATAAGTATTTTCTTATCCTTAAGAACCATTATAGGTATTTTCTTATCCTTAAGATCCATTATAGGTATTTTCTTATCCTTAAAATACCTATAATGGATCTTAAGGATAAGAAAATACCTATAATGGATCTTCTTAAGATCCATTATAGGTATTTTCTTATCCTTAAGATCCATTATAGGTATTTTCTTAAGATCCATTATAGGTATTTTCTTATCTTTAAGATCCATTATAGGTATTTTCTTATCCTTAAGATCCATTATAGGTATTTTCTTATCCTTAAGATCCATTATAGGTATTTTCTTATCTTTAAGATCCATTATAGGTATTTTCTTAAGATCCATTATAGGTATTTTCTCAAGTACTGACTACTGCTACATTGCTTTATAGATCCTTTTAATCTACACTCAGAGCAGTATCATAACATCATCTGAAACTTTCTTGTGAACTTTTACTATTAACATATTATTGTTCAAAAATTTAATTCATACATGTTCTTGGCACTAATAGGTTATTTCACTTTACTGATTTACTCTTTCTAATCTTGAATTGTTTCTCTATTTCAAGCCATTGTACTTCTCATTTCTGATAAGATGGTTTATTCCTCATTTGTTGGAAAATATGAGTACAGTTAAGTTGCTACAGTTACTGTATATGGTCCTTTCTGAATCACAGGGGAGATGCATTAATGGTAAAATGTTATAGTAGAAACCAGTTAATCTTTTGATTTTCTAATAATGCAACAACAGATCAAATTATGTAATCCTCTAAACAAAAGGCTGATCCTGAAAGTATTTAAGGCCTGCTCATGATTTTAAAAATTATTCCTTGGAATTAAACAAAAGGCTGATCCTGAAAGTATTTAAGGCCTGCTCATGATTTTAAAAAATTATTCCTTGGAATATGGTACAAGTGGATTCTTCAAATTTATTAAATAAACTCTTCCAAAACCAAAGTCAACATCAAGTGTCTATATAGCTGTTAAAATTAAAGTTGACAATTCTATTTGATCTTCAGAATATGTTTTAAATAAAATAAAAAAACAATAGAAAATAAAACATACTTTATAGATTACCACAGAGTGGCCATGTAAGCAGCGAGAAATTTCAGTCCCAACATAGTCAATGTTTTCCCATGATTTACTGGAGAAGTTGAATCTGAAACAAAAATTAAAAATTTTGCTTGAAGAAAGCTCTAGGCATTGAGCTACAGTGTTTAAAGGTTCAAATGAAACATCAATTTTCTCCAGAGTTGTATCAACATGATATTTTAACAAACTTTGCATAAAGACCTGAAGATTGATGCCCAAGTTGAGTTTTTCATAAAATTAAAACCTTCTTTGTTATTTATAATAAACTTGATCTGATAACTCATCAGAAAAAAAATTAAAAAAAGAGAACATTTAGTTGATTTTAATACTATTTAAAACATTGGTGCCCACTACACTTTGGAAAAATTACATACTAATATAAGAAATTAAATATTTATGGAAAAATAACTCACTTGGCAACATTCAGGAAGACTTCTCGATTAAAACTTTCACCCCCAAACACCCACAATACATCTTCATATATTAATGACTGATGTAGGGCCCTTGGAACTACTGTTCCTTCTCCAGTTACTACCTCCCATCCCCCTTCAGATGTTGACATACTGCAATCAGGACCTAAATAAATAAATAAAACTTTCAGAAAATACATTTGTTGGGCAAGAACAATAAAAATAGTACCTAAACAAAGCAATGGTTTGAAAATTGTATCATTATTAAAATTAAAAATACACACAACTTGAAGGCAGGTAAAGTTGAATTAAAATTAATTAAATAAAGATACAAACAGTTAAACTTGGAACCCTAGCTGACCAATGTTACATCACAGAGTTTTTCATCTTATAAACAGTTATTATGACATAATTATTTCATTCTTTTATTTATTATGTGACAAACAACTGAAAACTGATACATATTTGTGTTCTGTTTTTGTTGGCCAACAAATGAAGAAATTGAAAATGTTTGTCATTTAAAGTTGCTATTAATAATTCTAGTAAATTTTGTTTTCAGAATTTTCTTAAGCACTATAACCACTTTAAAACCTTTTCTCAAATGTAAATAGATTTAGATTTAAGAAAAATTGTTGTATATAATACTACTATTTTTTACTAGCGAATAGATTATTTTTTATTTCTACACATTTTGAAACACAAACTCAAAGCACTTAAGATCCTGTTTTGTCTCTGTTAATAATATCAAGATTACTAAAAAATTAAATAAAAAATGGAATAATTACCTCTAAATTCAGAGTCACATATACAGTGGTGGTTCTCACGGTCACAAGTGCCATGGTTACAGTTTCCTGGACATACTGGGTAACTGCAATCTTTTCCAGCCCAACCTGCCCAGCAGGTACACTGATTATCTACGCATACTCCATGCTCCGAGCAATTCAGCGGACACCCATTTATTCTTGGAAAAAAGAAATTCTTACAAAGAAAATAAACTTTTATTACAGATGATATTTATTAACAACCAGTTATTTTGTACTGTGGAGCTTAAAAAGTGTTGACTTCAGATTTATCACACTTTTTTTCTATCTTAATGATATTGGTTGTGTGAGGCACTATGAGTTACTGTTACATCTCTCTTGTCATCTTGTCTATATGGTTATACTTCCAACTCATGTAAGATTTCCACTGAATTTTATTTTAGTTTTTACTTGTGTTGGTTTGTAAAGTATTTGTATTTATACATTATTTAGGAATGATACTCTGTACAAGTTTAACAGAAACTTTTACCCAAAACATATTATACAGTGTGTACCTTTCAAGGTGAGTTTATTAGGCAGTGTATTTAACATATGGACTGTGTTTTAGACTTTTCTTGATCTGGTTTGGTGTTCAGATTTTTAACTATATGTAGAGTTATTAATGATGTGAATAGCATAGCATCAAGGCAAGTCAATAATAACAACAACAGCAGAAGAAATTTTAAAAGAGTCCACAGACTGAGTTGTGGTAAGACAGGGGTTACATTCCCACTAAACTGCCAATTTTGGTTAGTAGTAAAAAAATATTTTTTTAATTGTACATGCAACATAAAAATAACTTAAATGTGGAAAATTCTAATGAACCATATTTAAATGATACAGATATTTTTGATTAGTAAGCCCATAGAAATATCAGCAAAACAATAAGCAATAAACTTAACTGTTTATCTTAGCAAAAGCAATTTTCCCCTTGGTAAGCTTTAATATTTGAGACAATTCTGTTACCATCAAATTATTGTTTTGATAAACATATATAAATAGAGTGATAGTTAATCTTTATTTTTATTTTCATAAAATAATAAATTCATGTTATCTTTATTATATTATTGCACGGCTATATTTTCCACAAATTCTTAGCCAAGAGAATTGTACTATGTCTCAATTTTCAAATCAATTTCTAGATATATCTGATAGACTTTTTCTGTAACTTGAAGCTATAAGAGAACAATACAATAATGGTTCCTTAAACCTAAATCATAGCTTGACTTTTGTATCATAAGACCTAATTTAAAAAAAAATCTGTTATATCACTTTGAATTTGCAACTGCGATGAAACATTTTATGACATGATAATTAACTACTTTGCTATTTTATTTATTTACTAAATGTATATCATTTGATTAATCTAAAGTAAAAACTATTTTAAAAACTTTCAATATAGCAAACACACTAAAAATGTTTCTAGTACTATATGTAACCTTATAGTTCAATTTTCTGCTGTAACTTTAACAGCAGTAACAGCATAATGTAAAATAAAATGGTTAACACTTGGAACACAGCGAAAAAAGTCTATTTTAATGATAAATCAATTCAGTAATTTTACAATCAACTGGGCTCTTAAGTCTTAAAAGTTATTTAATTAATCTTACAAGTAACATCTGGTACTAAGGACAAGGTTACACAGATTATACATAGCTAGCAGTTATCACTGATTAAGGGTTGATTTTATAATTTATATTGAAACTGTCAAAGAACTGTAGATTCTAAGCTGTTTTTAAGGACTTAACTGTCAGTTTTTAATATAATTTGTCCAAATCTGCTAAAAGGTAAACATACATTTATTTTGCCAAGTTATGAAAGTTATCTCTATGTTGACAATTTTTAAGTTGCTTTTACATACTACCTAATTTCTCATCCTATCTAAATTTTCTGAATTCAACTTATATTTTCAAGCATATTTCTAGCAGAGAAGAGCAACAAGTACAATCTGTCTGTGAGAAATTAATAGGAAATTAACCGAAATCATAGGGATTGTTTTATTGTATATATAACCGGTTTCTTCCATTTTTCAATGCAAGCTCAAGCACTAAACTGATATATCTGTAAAAGTGTCCATAAAAATATGCACAAAATGCTTATAATGTAAAATATAATTTTTAAAACAAATTTTATACTGAACAAAATGGTAGTGTGTTTTGCAACCAAAAAAACAGCCTGCAGGACACATTGTTATTAATAGGAGTGACAGTTTAGTGATTTTCCACCTTCTGTACCTCGGACTTTGGAAATCCAAACTATCAGATATTATCGGTGGATGTGCTCTACTGGACTCTTACTTCACATACCAAATTTCTAGGCAATCCATTAACAAATACTTGAGATATGACATCTCTAATTTTGATTGAGCTTCTTCCTTCTATTTTTTCTTCGCACCAAAAGTATGGAAACTTTATTTGATAGAAAAACATATTTAACTTTTATGGATTGTTTTCTAATTTGGTACACTGATACACCTTTACAACTTATAAATAGGAGTCTCATTTCTTGTTTTGCCCACATGACACATTACTGTGTATCTTGATTCATTAGTTAGCTAGGCCTCGTATTTGTTTTACCCACCATCATGCCCAAAGTTAACTAGTGAATGAATATTTGATGCAAAATTCTTATCAATGCTATAATTGTAGCTACCAGTTGACCATCAATTTTGATTTCATTCCTTTAAGTTGCATACTGAATCCTTTTTTTCACCGTGCCATTTTTTCCCACCTAAGGTGTTTTTGATTAGGTTATATTAACTGGTATTACTAAAAAATAAAATTCAGAAATCAATTACACAAAACTATCTTAGTGGTTTATTGTCAAATGGCAAGGAAGAAAAACTTATACACAAACATAATAATTCTAGCCTGATTTACAGAACAGTGCTTTCTAAGAGAAGTAAACCAAGTTTTAGTCTTTAATCTCAACCTGTTTTACAGGTTTATAAACTTGAACAGAAATGGAGGTCAACATCTCATCAATGAACTGTATTTTTAACTAGCTGTATATATCACCTACACATTTTACACAATCAAATTACTTCCCCATGTGCAACACAGTACAAGCTGTTCATGAGCCTCAAACAGATAGCCATTAAAATATATTGGTAAAATAAAAATGTTTTTATTAAAGTTACCTAATCAAAACTCAGAAACCATTCCACTACTGAAGAAAAAATTACTTTGAATTAAGAAATGTTATGTAATAATTTACTTTAATAGCAAGTAAATCTTAAATTGTTTTTACATTCAGGATGGGCATAACTGCAAAAACCAATCTTCCAGATCTTAAACGTGACTATACTGATTTTACATGTGTGGTTATAAGACATGAACAACAGACCCACAGATCCATGGTAAGTGTGTAGTTTTAGGACAAGAACAACAGACCCATAGATCCATGGTAAGTGTGTGGTTATAGGACATGAACAACGAACCCATAGAACCATGGCAAGTGTGAGTGGTTATAGGACATGAACAATGGACCCATAGAACCATGGTAAGTGTGTGTAGTTACAGGACACAAACAACGGACCCACAGATCCATGGTAAGTATGTGTGTAGTTACAGGACATGAACAACAGACCCACAGATCCATGGTAAGTGTGTAGTTATAGGACATGAACAGCAGACCCACAGATCCATGGTAAGTGTGTAGTTATAGGACATGAACAACAGACCCACAGATCCATGGTAAGTGTGTAGTTATAGAACATGAACAACAGACCCACAGATCCATGGTGTGTGTGTAGTTACAGGACATGAACAACAGACACACAGATCCATGGTAAGTGTGTAGTTATAGGACATGAACAACAGACCCACAGATCCATGGTAAGTGTGAGTGGTTATAGGACATGAACAACAGACCCACAGATCCATGGTAAGTGTGTGGTTATAGGACATGAAGAACAGACCCATAGATCCATGGTAAGTGTGTGTGGTTATAGGACATGAAGAACAGACTTACAAATCCATGGTAAGTGTGTGTGGTTATAGGACATGAACAACGGACCCATAGAACAATGGTAAGTGTGTGGTTATAGGACATGAACAACGAACCCATAGAACCATGGTGTGTGGTTATAGGACATGAACAACGGACCCATAGAACCATGGTAAGTGTGTGGTTATAGGACATGAACAACGAACCCATAGAACCATGGTGTGTGGTTATAGGACATGAACAACGGACCCATAGAACCATGGTAAGTGTGTGGTTATAGGACATGAACAACGAACCCATAGAACCATGGTGTGTGGTTATAGGACATGAACAACGGACCCATAGAATCATGATAAGTGTGTGTGGTTATAGGACATGAACAACGGACCTATAGAACCATGGTAAGTGTGTGGTTACAGGACACGAACAACGAACCCATAGAACCATGGTAAGTGTGATTGGTTATAGGACATGAACAACACACCCACAGATCCATGGGAAGTGTGTAGTTACAGGACACGAACAACAGACCCACAGAACCATGGTAAGTGTAAGTGGTTATAGGACATGAACAACAGACCCACAGATCCATGGTAAGTGTGTGGTTATAGGACAAAAACAACAGACCCATAGATCCATGGTAAGTGTGTGTGGTTATAGGACATGAACAACGGACCCACAGATCCATGGTAAGTGTGTAGTTACAGGACACGAACAACAGATCCATGGTAAGTGTGTGTGTAGTTACAGGACATGAACAACGGACCCACAGATCCATGGTAAGTGTGAGTGGTTATAGGACATGAACAACAGACCCACAGATCCATGGTAAGTGTGTGGTTATAGGACATGAAGAACAGACTTACAAATCCATGGTAAGTGTGTGTGGTTATAGGACATGAACAACGGACCCATAGAACCATGGTAAGTGTGTGTGGTTACAGGACACGAACAACAGACCCATAGAACCATGGTAAGTGTGTGGTTATAGAACATGAACAACGGACCCATAGAACCATGGTATGTGTGTGTGGTTATAGGACATGAACAACGGACCCATAGAACCATGGTAAGTGTGTGTAGTTATAGGACATGAACAACTAGCCCATAGAACCATGGTAAGTGTGTGTGGTTACAGGACATGAACAACAGACCCACAGATCCATGGTAAGTGTGCGTAGTTATAGGATATGAACAACAGACTTAAAGATCCATGGTAAATTTTATCAATTTGTATATTTCAACTTTAAGATGCTTGTACCTCACAACAGGGAGTATTTATATAAAAATAAGAATAATCACCACCATCAATGCAATTAACTTATGTCCAGACTTTAAGAAAAATTACAGGATGAAATTAATTACATAAGTACTACAGTAGATTTTTGTCAAATAATAACTGAAGTGTGTTAAAAAATGGTTATTTTGATCATATTTAATAGTAAGATAACTCAAATACACAATTCTTTTTTTAAATAAAGATCAGCTAGATGATTATTGGGTGAAGTATTCAGTTTCTTTAATTTTTTTCTTTGTGAAAAGTGAAGAAACAAGTTATCTAAATCAATTTATTAATCTACTAGATATAGTTTATGTTTCTTTATGATTGCTTTCTATTTATGTTTTATATTATGTCACATGCTTAACTTATATAAAAAACAAAAGAACAATGTGAACTCTTTTTTATTTCTTATCTATGATGGGTGTTCAGAAACAACTGGCCTTTTCTTTCCCATGCAAGAGATACAAGTCAACTGTGCCAGAAAAATTACCTGATTGAATTGATAAATATTTATCCACTACTCTTGATGATTATTCTCCTGTAACATAGTAATGCCAGGTCATATAATGCAACTAACCTATCATCCTAGTGACATCTCTGTCTCTGGATAAGAACAAATAAACAATGCTAAAGCAGCTCTACATAACTGCACTTCTAATATCATACCTGCTTCTTACTGATCTGGTATGAAGAAGCTCAAACAATAAGAGAAGGATGTATTGTGCTTAATGGATACAATGATGAGACATGATATCTTGTTGCTCACATCTTCAACACCATTAGTGTGCCTTTGTTGGTCATAATCTGATACAGTTTACCTGCAGGAACTGTGTTTTGTTCCTTCCAGAACACCTTGTAGTAATATAAGAATTAATAAAGTTTATTTATAGTTTGTTTCACCGTGTAGTTGTCTGAGTATTATAACTAGCTTTTTAACAGTTTGACTTACCTGTAAAAGAGAGTAAAACCACTCATGTTATACGAACTGTCACTAAAAAAGAACAGAAAGGCTGAACCCGAATGTGTCATAACTTCTTGCTGGTGTAATGGATTTTCTCCTATTCTGTAATGACCACTGAAGAGAAAATAAAAAGACTTTGAATAAAACAGCAATGACTTACCCAAGATATTATTACCTAATGTACAAAGATTACACAAAATGTTTAGGGAGCCAGTAAACAGAGCACAGAAGCAAACAACTATTTTTTTTTGTTTTGTAAGCTACAAAATAACCAACTTTTTCTTTAAATTTAATTTCATTAACTCCTTCAAGTTTACCCCCTGAAAAGGAGGTTTAAGGTGGTGTGTTTTATAAAAGTTACTACCTTCCCTATTTAGGTTATTTGTTTAGATAAATAAATTGAAAGCGACACCAGCATGTATACACCCTGCATCACAATTTTTTGTGACTTCAAACTTAGTTTGGCCATTGAATATAAGATAATTTTATTTATATGTCATATTATAAGTATAACTGAGACAAGTCAAAAAAAGAACTCTGAAAATAGAAATTTTGTCAAAAGTCTAAAAATTCTTGTGACTTCTGTAAGCATTCACTCAAACCCTATTGTGAAGAGGAGTTAAATTTGGTTGTAATATTAGTTTGAATAGTTAAAATAATTTTATTACTATTATTCAATTTAACACTTATGATCATTCTGCACTGTTAGCTTAGTATATGGATTTAATCCTAATTTAAATCCTAAGCTGTCTGTTTAGAACTGAAAACATTGTTTACAGCATTGGTTACCCAACTGTTGAATCAATGTATTCAAATCATTATAGGTTTTTCTTTTTCTTACGATTTAATTTATTGTATACTTATAGTCGGTTTATGACACAGCATTACATTACAGCTTATATTTGATCAGAAGCTACTGAAAATGTATTGAATATATTTTGCAATACTCTATTTTTTTGTATAAAACATTCTTAAGTAATTTTAGCCACTGGCAACTCAATCTTTTGACATTCACAGCAACATTACACTGAAATAATTGCTGGCCAAGCTCCATACTTATTGTTAGCAGCTTAAGTATTTAGTTATACAAGCATTTTTGGCAATATGTTGCCAAAATATCTTAAGACTTGGTGAAAAGAAAAGCCAATAATACATTGTGTGAATGACAAAAACAATTTTGGTAGCTTATAAAGATGCTTTAGAATCATTTTGATAAGAAAGGAACAATGTTTTTCCCACAGCATAGTATTATTGCAATATCAACTAGTTCTATATTGACATGTAGAACAAATATAATGTTATCTTGACATCAACTGTGAGTTTGAGTATACATGCAAAGTTTATTGCCCCATCTTTTCTTTAGGTTTCTGGCTTACTATACTCATAACAACAGTATTTTAGTAATATTTAAACTAAATTTACACATGGCTTATATTGTTATATATCATAAACAACCAGCAGTATACAGTTTATGCATTTTTGAGTGGATAATTAAATGAATTAAAAGGATATACGTCAAGGCTCAATTTTAACAGTTGTCCAAGATGACTAAAAACTTCCTCGGATGACCAACTTAAATCCATGTTGTCTGACGGATGACTAGCACTCTGGAACAGACCCTAACTCAAAACAGCATCATAGTCTACTGTACACTTATCCATGCCCACACCATACACGTAATGTTGACTCCAATCCTCGACCAAAATCTTTGGTAAATTCCCTAACTACAAACTCAAAAATTTAAACCCCCCACAGAAATATCTTTTTGTCCATTGTTTTTGTTTAAAAGATTGTACTTTGTACAAGAGAAATGTTGGTACAATTCACCAAAAAAAGGCTGAAAATGTTAGGAAAAGTTCACGTATGTGATTGGCTAATAATGGTGTTTTAGTCACTAAACTTTTTATCAAGGACAAGCTGTGCCTCTGTGCTAAAACAATCAAATATACAAGATCTGTTGAAACAGTGATCTCCTTTCAATCATGCACATATAGGCCCGAGGCTAAAGTTCGACAGACACGACCAATTGAATCTAGGAAAAACATAAGGCCATGAGAAAAATGGGAAAATCCATACATTAAACAGAGGATAATAATGAGAACTGCAAACAAAATTTTATGAAAGTTTTGATCAGTACAAAACAGAAAAACAATAATAAAATAAGACTAGTTTTGCCTCTATCCAGATCAATACAAACTATGAGTATGAACAACAATACATATCAGCAGTGTGTGTGAGTTTGTGTGTACATGTGCAGCCCTCAGGCACTGTGTAGGTATTACAGTATAGTAATATGTGTGAAAGTTCCTATGCAAGTCTAGTCTTACTACAGGCTCTACTTTCCAGTATTTGTTGGGAAGACCAAGCTGGTTAGAATGAAAACATTGACCATGATTGGCCAAGATCACTGTTCTGTTTAAAAGTTTTTACAGGTCATTGACTGTTTGTTTCCTTAAGATACTATGTAACATTAGCATGGTTTGGGCTTATTTTTTCCCATGTAATGAAACTTCCCAGGAAATTAGTTGAATAAAGATTCAAAACTGCCAACTAAGCATTAATTGTACATTTTTGGAAATAAATAAGATGTTAAAACATCAAAATTTTTGTAATTGGGTCTTTTTAGGCTCTTTGTACATCAATATTGTTGTAATTGGATCTTTTTTTTTTTTGAGGATCCATGTTTTTTGTTTTTTTCCAGACAACCAATACAGCTTTTGGAACAACATAGAAATTTCTTTAAAATCGAGCCTTGTATGTACATATTAAATATAATTTAAGAACAACAAAGGGACTCTTGTCCATCTAGATCATCCCATTTACTAAACTTTAAAATAAAACTCCCAAAGCCAGCTCCTATCATTCAAAAAGTTATCAAGCCTTCTTTAAAGTTCCTTAAATTAACTGCAGAGTACTTTGTTCTTTAATTAGTTTCTTCTACCAACTTTATTATTTAAAAATTAATAAGTATAATCTTTAGAACACTGCTTACATGACTTGCTCTAATTATTTACTCTTCTAAATCTCTACGAATACTAATACTCTGGACTTCATCATTATTCAAGTAAGCATCTTTAAACAAGAGATTCAGAATGCCTTCAGTTACATGTCAAACTTGTATGCTTTTATTAGGTAGCTTATTACACTTTCAAAATTTGTAGTAGTGTCAGTTATTGTAATCTTCTTGCTTATACCTATCACTAGCTTAAAATATTATTCAGATGATTTATTCCGAGACCTAATATCAGCCTGACAAATATGAAATAACTTGATAGTTTTTGGTCAATTATTTTTAATTGAATTAATTAATTATTGCATAATGCCTTTTACCTCATAATTTATATAAGTACAAATATACTCCCATAATGTTTGTGCTGCCACCAAGGATTTCTTTATACAATAAAATGAAAAAACCTTCAAAATCTTTTACAGTTTTTATCAAATGGTTTTGAAGTCATTTTCAGATGAGACAGACGAGGGACAGTTTTATCCTTAATATGAACAGATTTATCTGACCAAAACTATCAGTTGTTTTAAACATTATGCTTGTCCTTGTCCCACTGTTTGTAAGAGTTAATGTTGGTTCAATGTTGTACACATATACATGTGGATTTTCTTGCACTGTCATCTAACAAGTATGATTTAGATGTTACATTTCAGCAGAAGCCAAAGGTTGTTTTTATTACTATCAAAGTTGACCATATTTCTGGTATTTCTAATACTTGATGTGAGACATACACCTGTAAATAAGAATCTCAATTCTGACCAATCACAAAATTACAAGGAAAATCAGGAGTTCAGTATAATGTCATCCATTGTTCAACTGGACATAAAGGCAGGGGAAAGGCAACTAGAGTGAAAAAAAAGTTATCTAATCATCCATAAAGTATGTCCCTTCATCACTATAAATTATGCAAAATTTGAGTTCTGGAAGGTTTTGTTTCACCCATAGATGTCATGGCTGAATAAGCATTTATAAGCATCATTTGTCAGTAAAATGTATACAAGCTCTTGTAAACCTTTCTGTACCTTAGAAAAAAATTTCAATAAGCATTTTGGAATCCTTTTATTTACACATTATGTTTTTTAAAACTCTCCATAATATTAATCAATTTTACTTGTCATAAGACACTATTTATTAGGCCTATTACATTTTTAAACACTACATTCTTAATCCAGTCCTTTAGGGATTTTCAAGAATTAGGAGAGTTTATAATATAGCAAAACAATCACACTATATTTGTCATATCCATTGCCAATGGCATGTTTTGCTCAATCCAGAACTCTTCAAGCCAGCCGAGATACAATACACACAGCAGTGGGCGAAACACTACTTATGTAAGCCATTTCATACAACAACAATTGTTATGATGTGTATGCCTTTTGGAATGATTACAATTTTACTTGTCATATGACATTACCTATTCCATTATATAAACACTACATTCTTAATCTGGTCCCTCAGGGCTTTTCAAGGATTTAGAAAAGTGTATAATAATAGTACTTCAACTACACTGTATCTGTATAAAATTGGTTGCCTAGTGACAAATAATTATAATATTTTCTAATTATTGAGCTATATTGAAACCACTCAAAATGAAAAAAACACAATCAAAAATTAATGAAACATACATGCAACTATTTTAGTAATTGAAAATTGACACCATTTATAAACTGACTAAAAGATAACCCCAACCCCACATTCATACACTACCCTAACTTTATAGTAAAATTAACTTTCACTAGTTCTGTCTTTTCTGTATGGAAAACTGTTTTGTTGAAGGAAAATATAACAATCTCATCCATACATTATACACTGAATGCTACAAATCTTAAGGCTAGGATATTACAGCAAGAAATGTACACTTAACTAAACTTATTTTGGCCTGTGATCAATATTATCCAAGTGGTAATTACACTGTAGTAGAAACTTTTTATACTCTTGAAACTAAGCATTTGCATTAACGATTGTCACAATTTTCACTATTTAAAAACTGTCATTATAAAAATAATCTTCAACATATTTATGTTACTTCCACAGGAAAAATATTATGTGCTCTACAATTGTGATACTTAACATACCTGAATGCAGCCACAAGTGGAGAGAAAATGGAGTCTCCATCAAAGATGTACAAATGGTCCCTGCTACACTGTGTTTCAAAATTAACTAACTCCAGGTGAATTGTTGCATTTCTCTCCCCACTATCTATTAACCAAGCACACTGAGTATCAAGGCTGTAATTACCAGCACCATCACTGATGATTCCAGAAGATGACATCAACCTACATATTCAACAGGAAATTGTACATGTATTTGAAACAACTACTGAGAGCAACAAATTATTTATACATAGTATTGCTAAATAATTAATAAAAATACACAGGTTACCACCTATTAAAAATGATATTATGAACTAAATGACATTCAGAGCAATTGCTTTTTTATCAGATTGAAATATTAAGTTATTAATGTAATATTAAAAGTAAAAAGAGGAAATATCCATGGCCAAAGAACTCGCGTAATATTAGACGTTACAACTATTGCAATAATGTTAAAGTGCATTAATGACAATAGGGTATTGTTCGTGAAGGAAAGAGTAATAACAGAATACATCTTATAAACAAAGTTTTAAAATAACTGATGAATTCCACGAGTATTAGACGTATTAGTAATATTAGACGTTACAACTATTGCAGTAATGTTAAAGTGCATTAATGACAATAGGGTATTGTTCGTGAAGGAAAGAGTAATAACAGAATACATCTTATAAACAAAGTTTTAAAATAACTGATGAATTCCACGAGTATTTGAGATTTGTGAAATTGCACCATATGAATACATAAACATTATTAATAAATTCAGACACAGGCAACCAAGTGAGCTATAAACAGCTAGTTAAAAAAGTTGTATCTGACAGACTACAAATTATTTTAAAATACACAGTATACAATGACAGATGCACTGATCATAAATGAGGCACTTGATTTGCAATAGAAGAGGTAAATTACCCTTTTCAATAAATCTTATTGCTATATTTCCACAAAAGAAGGAAGAGAATAAAAACTAGGACACAAGAGTCAATATATATTAACTTAGACTTAAGTATTGAAAATTTCTAGCAAAGTTAAGTCTGCCTGAATGATAGAGCAGTAAGCTGTTCTTGTAACATGAAATATGGCTGAGTTTAGACTAGAACATTATATATTATAAAACTATTGTTGTTTTTTACAACACTTGGCTCACCTAGGCTATCCTAATATGTCTTCATGAAAATTTCTTAAGTAGAAAGAACCTGTAACTGAAATATTTGTCCAAACAATCTAATGAATAAACATTTAGAATTATCTCATTAGTCTGTGAAACAGTTCCTAAAATTCAACCTACTTTGTGCCAAGTCTTCTAGGTCACAACCATTTTATTTCTACAAATGTTTACAAAGTGTGAGAGTAATATAGTTATAAGAATAAAATCCTATCCAAATAAAAATCATTCAATTACAATGAAATACTGAAACTGATTAGACACTGTAAACAAACTTTAACATTTATATTTTCTCGATGTTATATAGGTGATGTATAAAAAACAACAACATTTTTTTTATCAGATCATGATTACCTTGTAAGTTACTACAGCTCGAGTGGGTGAAATTGCATTTCACAATATTAAAACATTCCAAGCTATTACAAGTCACTTATCCATATTATTCAGAATTAGCAGATTTTACAAAATGTTTTACTTAAATCTAATAATGTAAAATATCTAAACTGGCAAAGCACATTGACTATCCCATTTCCTACTACCACATTACTCCAAACTTCATATATAAACCCCTTTTCGTTTATCCAATCTGACTCCTAAATACTTTAACTAATTAAGTGTTGCAGCTTGTACCTTACCTGAAGCCAAACTATTCTAAGTCTTCAAAACTTCTCATTGAATGCCTTTAGTGAATGTTACAAGAGGTCTGATGAAAACTATCCCACAAAAACCATAAACTATTGCTCAACCTACTCTAGTATGATATAAAAATTCTAATTCTTCTCTATCCAATCATAGTTTAACTTGCTTTATAACCATTTCTATATTTGTGTTTTATTAGTAAATTATCATAAAAAGATGGCAACCAATTCCTCTACAAAAACTATGAAGGAAATGTTTGAAATTCAAAAAATGGATAATATATTTTCAGGGGATAATAGTTTCTTAGCAAAAATAAAACTGTTCTTTGGGATGGTTGGAATATTTCTATAAAAAATTAACAAGTGCATTGCTTAAAGGTAAACCTCCTTCGAGCTATGCAGGAATGGGAATTTGAATATTTTTCTCAGTTTCTTTCACTAATTACACCAAATAAATGTTAAAAAATAACAAAATATAAATTCATAAATATTCTGCAGTTAAAATTGATGAAGCTTAAAATTGACTTAAAAATATGTGGCTCAAAAATGTAAGATGGGAAAAAAATTAATTGACAAAGTAATGGCACAAAAATATAAAGCCAAAGGAAGCCCTGTCATCATATATAATAACTTATGATTCAGTTACTTCTGTTTACATGAAAATATATCATACATGCAACATACTACAAAATCTGAACAAACTCAAAACAGGATTAATAGTGTTCCATGGATATCTCCCTACAAATTTTCAAAACACTACTAAAATTACTGAATTTTTGTTGATTACTATTAGGTTTGGGTTAATATAAATTACACACACACACACAAACAGTGTTTGGGATCAAGCTTACAATAATACATGAACAAAACTATAACTATCATGTGTTGGTGAACAGAAACTATAAAACTACATTCAGGCACTCAAGCATGTACATACTTTAGGTGCATATTCACTATACAAATACAACAACAAAATTAACAGCACAATGCCACTTTCACTTGTTAAAGGTAAAGAAGTATAAGATTATCATGGGTATAAAATTATTCATTATGTCGTACAAAAGAATATTATAGTATAAAGTGAACTTACAATTTATTATACTGAATCAACAAAATCCAAGTTCGACACATCTCTATACATTTATTTGTTGTTACACATCAGGCCATAAAAACTGTATATTTGTGATAACAATGCCTGGAAAAATTATAGTAGGAAGGTAGGATTTTTTCCAATTGCTTTTATTAAATATTATTACACTGCACTATGCTAACATTATCAAAACAGAAAATGTTTTGCAAGAATTCAATCAAATCAAGAATTAATTTTCTATCAGGTTCTTTTAGTCAATATGCTGTTGCTTTTTTTTTCTTCTTATAGCATATTTAGATTCCATAAGGCTTACATACTAGACTAAATCTTGTTTCTAATTAACAATTGCCCAACTACTTTCAATTAAAATACATTTAGGGATTAGTAATTGTAGTTGATTTATATGTATGTTTCCAAGTCCACTTGTTAGTAGCTTTTGATAGTTCTTCACAGAATTACCATTCATTAACATGCACAATATATCTTGTATATGGCAATTATACTAGAAACTCTTTGGCAACAACAGAAACCACTACAACACTTTAAACACTTACTAGATATCATACTGATTTTAAGAATTATATGGGAAACATTGCAAATGACACGAATGATGCAAATATTAACACTTTAAGAGCAGTGTTGATTATCAAATGGACGAATCTTGTGTCTGTGAAGCAATACACACTATAACTTTGAATTTATCAAGTGTTTCTTCACAATATTTGGCAAGATTCAAGGAGACATTAAGTCTGTTGTATACAGAAAATCATGTGTTTTAATCAAATATTTTAAATAAGGATTTGTCTCTATATTTCCAAAGCCTTTACTAAGTCAGTCTGAGTGAAGGGTGATTTTCATGCTAAGAATTAGAATACTTATTTTCATCTTACAGTTTTCATATTTCATTTGAATAACCTCTAGAATCTGCTAAATGAATATCAAATGTTTTTATCTGGCAAAATTTTATACTTTATATCTTATTTTCTCTACAGTAAAAAATTCTTATTCTTGAGTCTGTAAAGAAATCATCAATGTACAGTGGAAAAATATGAAATGAAATGAGCAATACCTTTCTTTCATCTAAACTGACTCAAGTATTATTCAATAAATTCATAATTACTTATCTTAATTAAAAGTTTAAACTCAACTGTTAACCCTATGTTCAAGTGTGAAGGTCAAAGTATGAATGCTATGACCTTTTACAGAGTGCCATTCAACATGATATTATGTATTTTATGTTACAGTTATCAACTATTCATTTTACCATACATGGTATAGGGAAGGAAATACCATATACAATATATAGATATTGAAAAAATTGTAAATATGCAAGTACGATATGCAAACTTTACAATGGACAAAAGTATTTTTATTCTTCACATGAACATCACCTTGCAATGTGACTTGTCAGAGTCAGAATGATGTCGTCAAACACAGACATATCTTGAGCACAAATTCTTTTGTAACGTATCTGATTTTTTGTGTACATAGACATGTACATATTACTACAATCTTGCCACATTTCATGTAGATATACATAGAAAATTCAGAATTATGGTCAACCTTCTTTCTCCAATATGGGGTCAGTCCATTGAACAAACTTCATGCAATTTCAGTTAACCTTTTCACATCTGTTTCATGCAGAATTTACAGAAAAATATAAATCAATAACAAATATAACTATGATGAAAGTTTGCAGAATGGATGGCAACTGCCTGTTGTAGAGAACAATGTTTTGGAAGTCTTCCACCTTTCGTCTTCAGGAAAAGGATACAAGTATTAAGCCAATCAATTGATAAATGGATCAGGAATAGTACACAACAGCTCTCGTGGCAGAGAGTGGGTCAGTACAGCCCGAAGACAAAAATATACCTGGCACAGTGGGATTTGTTATGCCTACAAAAAAGCTTATATCAAAAATGGGAAGATACAAGGGAAAGAAAATATGACTTCAGTAGATATTTTCATAGTCACTACAATTAGTAATACTCCATAGCCTCTACAATCTTCCAACAACTGGACATTTAAGTGTTAAGAAGACACCGAGTTGGATGCCAAAATTCTGTGAAGGATTGGTGTATATCGTGTGAACTGTTCTATGAGTAAAATGGTCCATGAAGGAAAGAACATGGGTAACTACAGTTGCTGCCAATATGCTTGGTCCTCTATCACAAAACAAAAGTGGAAATAAATACCTTGTGGTGGTGATGGACTATTTTATCAAAAGGCCAGAAAAATATGCTGATTCTAACTAAGATGCAGAAACTCTAATGAAAAAGATTGTCAATGAATTTGTTTCAATATCTGAAGTACTTGTGGAACTTCATTCTGATCAAAGATGGAACTTTGAATCACACTGTTTGAGGAAACGTGTCAAATCCTTTGAACCAAGAAGACCAGGATATAAGCCATTATGATGGAATAGTGAAAAGATACAACCATATACTTTTAAGTCACTTTGCCATTTAAGTGAATAAAAACCAGAGAACATGGGATCTAGATCTTCCACCCCTACTCTTGAATAGTTAAACCACAATTCACAGAGCTAAAGACAACACACCAGCATCATTAATGTTTGGAAGAGAACAGAAATTTTTGTTGGACATTCTGTACTCATTCCAAGAAGCATCACTCAGTACAATCTTAGAATATGCAGTGAGATCCAGGAGCAAGACATACTAAAAGACATACATAGCTGGTGATGAGATTACAAGTTGCTTTGATGTAAATGTTGAATGAACTGGATTAAATGTCATTATAGTAACATAGCAAGGTTGTACCATCTATGTCGTAAGAGAGGATTATCTCCAAAATTAAGTAGATACTAGGAATGGCCTTGTGTTATAATCAACAGAATCAATAGAGTAGTTTATAGAACCCAGAAGCACAGGCAGTTCAAGTATGTTGGTGAGAGAATACCAAACTGTTTGACTTCAAAGCAGACTTCGCCAAAGGTAAATCATCATCTTGAAGATTGATCTTCCAGTCAAGATCATTTCTAGAGTATCACTAGGGATTGAGGAATTAGTGGATTTCCTCACCTATCTTTAAGAAGAGAACTCCCCAAGAAACAAAACAGTAAAATATTAATCAAGGACATAAGGTTATTCCATCTTCGTACAGTACCACAAGTCACAGATACCCCCAAGAAACACAACCGTAAAATATTAATCAAGGACATAAGGTTATTCCATCTTCGTACAGTACCACAAGTCACAGATCCCCCAAGAAACACAACAGTAAAATATTAATCAAGGACATAAGGTTATTCCATCTTCGTACAGTACCACAAGTCGCAGAAAAGAAAAAAAAAAGATTTGATGGCTGGACAGCTTATGGATAATATACGAGTAAAGACAGATTATTTTTGTTTTGTACGGATAATATACGAGTAAAGACAAATTATTTTTGTTTTGTATGGATAATATATAAGTAAAGACAGATTATTTTTGTTTGTATGGATAATATACGAGTAAAGACAGATTATTTTTGTTTTGTATGGATAATATATGAGTAAAGACAGATTATTTTTGTTTTGTATGGATAATATACGAGTAAAGACAGATTATTTTTGTTTTGTATGGATAATATACAAGTAAAGACAGATTATTTTTGTTTTGTATGGATAATATACGAGTAAAGACAGATTATTTTTGTTTTGTATGGACAATATACGAGTAAAGACAGATTATTTTTGTTTTGTATGGACAATATATGAGTAAAGACAGATTATTTTTGTTTTGTTATTAATTGTTAAGTTACTTTCTTGTTAACTATGGGAGAATAATGTATCATTGTTTTATCTGTGTAATAGGACTATGCAAGGGACTTTGTAATCCAGGAAGGAAGCAGTATGTATTTTAGACTAAATTTTTTACATTACTACACATGATGAGAGCACAGCTTAATGACAAGAACTTTCTGGAAAGTGATATGAATGCCATGAAACACAAGTTAGACTAGATTGTTGAATGATAAGTAGGTATATTACAGTGGTGGATTAATTACTGAGCTAGCAGTTTTGTTAGTCGATACTTCTGTTACTGTTAGTCAGAGTGCTGTAAATTTTGAGTTTGTGTGTCAAAAAAGTACTGGTGATAAAAATAGGTACAAGAGAAAATTAATAAGTAACAGGTAGCATTGTTTGAGATGTTATGCAGAATAATCCAAAAGAACTGGTTAAACAACAACGGAGCAGTAATGCTCATATCAAAAGCAATAAATTACAGTGGAAGACCAGTAGTTGTTTATCATAAATACCACATGACCCGAGTGCCATGTTTCACAGTGCTTGAGCTAGTGTAATTTTTAGATGTTTTATGTTACATAACTTTTTATTGGACTAAGCTGAGAAGTATATAATTTATGCATTTTACTTACTTTTATTAAAATATATATATATATAAAAAGCAAGGATTTGTAGTACTTGCTGTGTACTCAAGCAGTTTGCACTTGAGTAGATGTTGTTCTGTAAGCCTCACAAATTTGGGTGTCAAAAAAAATCACGTAACTTTTAAATATGCATTTTAGAACACAAAAAATATATCCAGTCACTAGAATATAATGTCCCTAAACTATTATATTTTACCTAGCTTTCAACATAAATTATAAATAGAGTAACAAAAATGCCTCTAGCAAAACAAGTAACACAATAATCACAAAATTTAAACCATCATAACAACTGAATAATCTAAGTAGGAAAATTGAGAAAATAAAACATAGATTCACATAGAGATGAATCTGCTCTTTTTATTGGTTACCAGCATGTCCATTATACAAACTAGAAATATTGCAAAGTGGCTTTCTCCTTCAATCATCTTGCTTCTTTTTATGATCTTAATCTTCATTTCATAATGTAGTTTTTAAATATGAATATTTACACAAATTACAACTAAGTTTTAACCTTAATTTTCCTATCTTGTTACAAAGAGAAATAATTTATTCTATTTCTGACAAAGGAAACTGATTGACGACATGTAATTACTGGCAGTACTGTTTTCCAGATTTGAACCTCTCATCTAGTAGTAGTAGTAGTAATAGTGTCTATATACATACCTAAGGTTAATGTAAAAGTAAAACTTATAAGTCAAAGTCATTAGATCACCGTAAGTGTGACTTTTAGTTTTACACTAAATGACTAATATCAGTGTACCTAAGCTACCTTCTAAACTAGGCAAATAACAGAGGAAAGTTTAAATATTTAAATATTTTTCATAAATTATGGTTCTGAACTAATCAAAGATACGTTAAGAGTAAGACTTACATATTACGTCCACCACATAAATGACACGACTCCCCTTTCCAGCCCCTGTCACAAACACATTCTCCATTCCGACAAATTCCATGTAAACACTCATTTTTTTCACTTTCACATGAACCTCGGTATGCAGCAAATGTTCGTTCAACAAAAATTTGTGTCATTAACAAAATAATAAGTAACTTAAGTATTAGAGAAGTTAATACCCTTAATACTTTCTTTGAACGTTTTGCTACCGTTTTAAGATCATAACACATCGGTAACCCATTTTCCATGGCCGATATAGGGCCATGTCGTAGAAACTAGTAGAATAGCTAATTGGGTAACTACTTAAAGTACCACCTGGCGTTGAAAATAAAAATTTTGTAAGACTAACGATGTGGGTGAAGTGCAATGTTTTGTTCTTTTACTTTATTTTAATGCTTTTATTATATCTTCCTCATGTTTTTCTGGTTCTTTACAACATCTCAAAGTGGCTGTGAAACTCCATACCTTTGTATTTTTTTTTTCGTTTTTGTCTTAAATTTTCATAATCATTCTTACTGATTCTAAGAACTTAAGAGTGAAAACAAAGAAGAGTATGTAATAATATGTCAACGACACAACATGTTTATGGACCTATTGGCCCATCTAGACTGTTTCATCCTCTAAGCTAAACCAAAACTATTAAATAACAAAAACACACTCAAAGCCAGCCCTTATCTAATCTATATAAATGCCCGTGTGTATCACGTCACGTCATGCTAGATTTCTCGAAATAGGAGGAGTCATAAAAGCCAAAATGCATTTATCCAGATAGAATAGTTCGATTACTGTCTGGCCATTAAGATTTTAGTGATGGGGTGCAAGGGGGCCATAAGGGGGAGGGGCGTTAAACCTTATAAGTGTAATAAGTGTTGGTATAATAAGCCTAAAATAAAGATGTAGTGTGGGATCACCTAGCCTAGAGCCAAATGGATAAAATTTATCCTGAAAGTAAAAATATCGATTCAATTTTAAACTTAAATCATTTCTGAATTAAGCTATTTTTAATCAAAACAAACCTCTTTAAACAGAGACTCTAAATTAAGGAATCAACAAATATTTTTCCAGTTTTGTTTTCTATGCATTTCATTTTATACTTTCAGTACATAGACTAACAACAATATTAGTATACTAGCAGAGACCCGCAAAACATTTCCGGCCAAATTAGTATCTTTATCGTAACAGTACTTCTTTAAATATAACATATACTATTAAATATAAATATATACTGTTACGTATCTGCTTGTTTGTTTGTTTCCGGTAGAAATTCTTCCGATGATCTTCAGGTTTACAAGTCCTTTCTTGATTAAACCAGTTTATTCTTCCTCGATACAAACTTTTAGTACATAGTAGTTCTACAATCATTACGTTTCTCGTCACTTTGAACAACTTTTATAATACACGCTATAAATCACAGTGATCCACAATCTCGATAACTTCGCTCTCGACGCGTGCAAAACACACACTTTACGGCTCACTAG